ACTTCGAATACATCAATTATAAACAGAAGATACCTTATATTAAAAATAAATAAATCAATTTAATATGAAAATTTACGTTTTTCATCACTATAAATGCATTGCACATTTAATTATTTTTTTCGAAGAATGGTATAAATGTCAAGTGTATGTAACACCTAAGAGGGACTTCTTAGTAAACCCATTACGGATTTGGCCTGTCTTTGGGCTGCCGAATAATGAAGGGAAGGATTTGACATATAAAAAAATTAAAATTTTTGAATAATAGGAAGAATAATAGTTCATTTATTGAAATTTTACTGTAATGAATACATAATTATGAACACTTAACAGTGATTAGTTATTACAAAGAACATTGTGAATATATTTAGAAGTAGGGAAAAATTTTCCATTATTAGAAATGCTTGAAAGATGTTGACTTATCTTCAATATAAAAATATCTTTTTAAATCTAAAAAAATATATATATCAGAAAATTCTTTGGTAAAACATCTTTCAAATTTAGTTTACATGAAAAGGGAAAGAGAAGCGCAAACTAAAACATTTCTTATATCAGATATCTTTATACAGACATCATTTATCAAGCGAGGAATACATATTTATTTAATGTAACTGCTGCATAATCTATCATCGACTTCATTACGATCTATCTACACTAATAATTGATTGGAGAAACATCAACTTTTCTTTCATGTACACACATTCAACAATAAGCGGTTATTGACGTCAAATGCAACCTTGATAATTGTACTTATCGACTGGCAACTGCTGCTTCTATTATCTGTTCAACAAGAACCAATAACTATTTCTTAAGGTCTCACCTGCTACATATGAAAGTTCTAGGAATGTGCCACGGTTATTGGTTTTTTTCGGGGAGATGTATTCTTATGAGAGAATGCCAGTGGCTTTTTATGTAGATACATTCTATTCAACATTATGCTTTTATTCGAATTCGATTAGGGATTTATAACATGTATTTATATTTTAATTAATATCATTACTTAATAATTTATTATTAATTTAAATTTAATTTATTTGTATGTTTTAATAACGTTTTCGAACTCTCAATCTGTAATTAGACATACGTGGATCCCAGTTTAGTTACTTTTTTCTCGTTTTTTTAAGGTTATTANTATTATTCCAAGAAACTCTTTAGAAGATATAAAAATAATTTTTTAAATTATTATTTTAAAGTAATATATTATTTAAATGCAATTAAAGCTTAAAATTATTGTAATTCATTTCTAAAAAAAATAAATAAAAAAATAATAATAAATGTAGACATCCATTTGTTAAATACTTTTAGGAGTGAATAAATTATTACTTTTTTTTTCTTAAAAAATAAACACTTTCCATTATTATCTTCATTAATTTTCTCTTTGGATATATTTTTTTTCTTCTTTAATTTCTGATTATGTACAATTAAAACTTGAAAACAACTCAAAGTAATGACTCTTCGTTTCCTGTTTCACAAATATAAGCATCATCTTACAATTTTTATGCTTTTTCCCTTTAATATTTCAAAGATAATTGAGGTTTTGGTATAAGGACTTTCGTGTTTCTTTCCTTTTTTTTTTCCTTATAGAACTAAACTTTCTTGGTATAAAAATTCAAATAAAAATATATGAAAAATATATATATGTTAATAAGAACTGATAATGAAAATAATATGCACAGGTAATGAATGAGTTGTAATTAATTATAAACATTAAGCTGTAAATAAATAAATTGTTAGTGCTAAGTTTAAATAAGCAATAAAGCAGAAAGTAAATTATAAATAAGTACCTCTACCGATGTCGTTATCTCTTTAATTTTATTACAAAAATATTGCAAAATATTATAAAATTGTATAATTAGAATTCTACGTTGTTTTATTTACATTACTTTCAGTGTGTTTACAAATAAGCAAACAAATGGATTTACATTATAAATTCTAAGGTAAATTAGATTTATCTTAGCAAATAAAGTGTAAATTTATTTATCTTTCTTCAGTTTCTTTTACATAATTTTAAAACAAAGTTTATATTTTAAAATACAGTAAAACCTGTTTTAAACCGAACCCGAATAAAACGGAAAGAACTTCGATACAGTGTGATTCTGGATTACAGATTTTATAGCCAAGTTTGGTTCATCCAGCCATGAGATATAATGCAAAATAGATAATGAAACACACCAATACATCTACATATAGAATTTTATAAAGGATTTTTACATGATTTTTTCGGATTTCAAAGTGTCAAAACGTTGACAAATGTAAAAAAAAAAGGGGAGCCAAAATTTAACCGATCACTATACTTTCTCTATGTTGTATTCTATAACAAGAGGAAGATAAAAATGAAAAAGACGTTTCAAAAAATACAATTTTAAATTCTAAAAAAAAAAGTATTTTATTTGAAGTCATTTCTTTTTCTTTTTTCTAAGTAATTCTTTTTTTTTTTTTTTAGTATGTTAAAGATTATCCTGATCAATCCCATTGAAACACATAACAATTCGTGTTTTCATCCCTAAACTCTCGTTATTTTTCTACGAAATCATGTTTACATCAAAGTTAAGCTAAGTCAGCTGCAAAGTAAAACACTTGGGAAGGGATGCCGGACGTGACTTTGAATTTAACTTTCGTCAGTTCATCTTTTTAAAATGTCAAAGAAGCACTTGGAGGAAGGTTTGTTGTCATTTGTCGTACGGAAACGTCAACTTGGGTCATATGGAAGACGAAGAGAATTCAAAATAACTCTTTCTTTCAATTCAAAAAAAAAAAATTAAAAAAATAGAAAAAAAAATCTATGCACATATTATCAAACAATATTAATTTAATTATAATAAATAAATCAGATAGTAAGTTGCCATTAAACCATTAAACAATTATATAAGGCTTGTATTGACGTGAACATAATGAATTATCTTAATTCCTGGGGTTCTTCTAGGTTCGATCTCGGATTCAGGAGAGAAGTAGGATGACGCCTTAATCTCTTCGATAGTTATAAGTCAATTTTATTAATAATAAAGAATTGCTGACAAATTATATTTTTTACCCCTATAAGTAACAAGGAAAGAGCTTAGAATCTTACAGAAAAAAATAAAATCAATGCTAAAATTTAGAACTTGCACATGTAGGAATACTCATTTTGTAGAAAGCACATTTATATTCAACTCACCTCCTATATGAAGATTTGATATTTGCACGGCAAATCAAACTATAATAATGACTCACTAAATCCCAATAGATGGATAAATTGTAACAGAATAAGATAGGAATTTAAAAATAAAGTCACGCCTTTATAGTTTTTTCAATATCTTTCTTTATACTTGGATAGCTTTAGATAGAAAGTTCTTAGATAAAAATTCCGATTACATCGCTCTATGCCAAAATATCATTAATCGGATAATCTTTTTCTCACTTCGATAATGTACATAATAAAAAGTAAAAATCTGTAAATTATTTCATGCTTTATATAAATTATTTTCTTTAATATAAAATAAATATTTATCTTACGAATACAGTCTTGTATATTAGAGATATCAATGACAAATTAATTAATTTGGGTCATCATAAAGCTTGACAACTTATACCATAGACGATCTTATCACTCAGAGTGTTAAAACGTATCGTGTCATAGGTTAAATAAAGAGGTCACGAGTCATATAGCTAATCTTCATACATTAATTAATGAAAATCTGACGAACAATATATCTATTAGAAACTATAAAGCATGAGAAATCATAAAATTCTACTTCATATTTTATCTAATGAACCTAATGACGTTAGTTTAATATTTGGAAATACAGTATCCATTTAAAAATTTAGGTTAAAATAACAGTACATTTTATACTTTAACATATATTAATCATTTATATAACTATTTATAATTGTAAAAATATTCTATAAATCTTTTATAGTGTGTCTTTTATACTGAGTTATAATTATAATATATTTTAACATATTATAGAGTTGCCCAAAAGTTAATTAACCGAGATATGTTTTAATATTCGCCATTCACTCACGTTGTTGTGAATGATTGCATTGCAAATCTTAAAATATATATATATATATATATATCTTGGTTAACTGACTTTTAGGCCACCTTGTATATTAAAATATAATATTTATTTGACATTTTAGGTTTTATTTTACACATTTCTAACTAAAACCTTTAATTTGGTTGCAATTTTCAAATTGCTGAACTTCACATTTCCATTGTCATTCGTCTTTCTGTCCTTCGTTAATCTCGAGAAAACGGGGTTAAATAGATGAAAATCGTGACTAGATGTGGAAAACTTACGGGCCGGAGACTTCTATTCACTATATATTAACTTCTGGTATATACCGGAAGTCACGTGATTTCAATTTAAACTTTTCTCCAGTACAGAGTTAGATAGATGACCGACATGACTCAATTGTTATCAGGAGAAGTATGATGTATAGGGGCAAGACACCACTAAAATGCAGACCAATATAAAAAGCTTAGGAGCTGGAGATCCCGATTAACTATGTAGAAACTTCCAGTGTGAACCAGAAGTCACGTATTTTCTTTTAAAATTAAATTTTATAAAGACATTCGTCCAAGTACAGCCGTACAGGGTGGTTATACAGTAATTAAAGTTGCTCTACTCAGACCTGTCTAGAGCCCGTTCTCGTGGACATATTTTGATGAAACTTGGTATATATGTCATATAGATCATGGTGAAAAGGAAAATGCAAAAAAAATATTTAGTTCGAATTTTTACCACTAGGTGAAAAAATGGCGCATGAAGAACAAGAAATACAAAATGGAAACACGCAAAAGGTTTTTATTCACAACATTTGTTTAATGTGCACTCCTTTTGCATCGATTACATGTTCAAAATGCCTTACAATGCTGTAAGGTGTTTTGAACAAGTGAATAAAAACCTTTTGTGTGTTTCCGTTATGTGTTTCTTGTTCGTCATGCGCCATTTTTTCATCTAGTGGTAAAAATTCGAACTAAATATTTTTTTGCATTTTCCTTTTCCCTGGTCCATATAACATTTAATACCAAGTTTCATCAAAATACGTCCACGAGAACGGGCTCTAGACAGGTCCGAGTAGCGCAACTTTAACATTTTACAGTTCATGAGCTTCTATACCTCGAAACGCGTTTATCTCGAATTTTTTTCTCGTTCCCATGAGATTCGAGATGGACAATTCAACTGTATATTCACCTATGTATGTTATAATTTTACTTATGGTGTGCTTCATTGTCAATTTGTCCCCTATTTTAACATTTTTAAGTAATCGCCGTTAATTTCAATAGACAAATTTTCAGTTTATAATGACAACAACTTCTTGGAAACACTTCTTCACCTTAATTCTTTTTCATCAAATTCTCCAGAGTTTCTTTATAAAAATTTTGGATGACCTTTCGTCGAACTTTCAACGCTCCCGTGACGAAACCACTTTCTGGTAACCATTCTTCGGAACAGAGTTTGACGTATTTAGGAATTTCTTTCCTCATCAAATTGCCTGAATATAAAGACATTAATCTTTTATCATTTATCTCGATATACGGGTTTAAATAAATCGAGAGACTTACAGCTTTTTCCGTGTTTCTGCACGATTTTGGTGGCACATTCGTTCATTTCTTCGTCGGCGCAAAGACTTTGGATGTCCATTCTTTCCTTGCCTAATTCTTTAGCCAAAAGTTCTAACTGAACTCTATTGGGAACCATCAGAGCCACAACGTAATCTTTGAAACCGTTGCCAAAAACACAGATGTTATCCATCAGAGGACACGTCTTCAGCACGCTCTCTACTTTGCCCAACGGTACGTACTCCCCGTACTGCAGCTTTATCAAATCCTTTTTTCTGTCTGCAAAACACAGAAGATAAATGTTCCATCGTTTCATAAAGAATCCTTAACTTCGACTTACCTATGACTTTGATGCAACCGTCGGGATGGATTTCGACGATGTCACCCGTGTAGAACCATCTCATTCCGTTTTCTTCTCGAAAGCTTTCTTGAGTCAGTTCGTCTTTCTTGAAATATCCGTTCGAGAGACATTTTCCACCAACCAGCAATTCTCCTCGAGGATAAGGTTTGTCGGTAGGATAATAATTGCCTACAGACAAATCGTAATTTTTATCTTGCAAAAGAATATTTATTCCTAATCCATGCGAATAAAACTAATCTCCGTAATTAAAATTCAATCGCATTATTACTTTCCTGACTGTTATATAACAGAGGGAAAGTATTGCAATAGGTCAAAAGATTACCTCTATCAAGAATTTTACATTTTTGGACTCGGGACCTTAAAATGCCAAGAAATTTGTACGTCGATTTTTTTCGTATCTACACTTGGTTAATCCCGCTTTTGCGGCCAGAAACTACATAAAAGTGATCACGTAGTACAATAAAACTAACTTGAAACAGACTCACCATCTTCCCATTCGACCAGAGGGAGTATAGAGGTGCACACAGGACCACCCACTCTTCCAATACTGTAGTCGTCCACTAAAAGATAAAAAGAACACGTCAGAAGTAGTCTTCTCGACAACGAAAAATCTTATGGTGGATAGCTGATAATATATCCCTTCTTACAAAACAAGAGATACATTATTAAAACAGTAATGGTGCTTTTTGTCAATCACCTTTCGAGTGTTACAATGTCGGTTGAGAACCATGAAAATATACATAAAGCAAAGATTACTCGTAACAAATAGTAATAGATATAGAGAGACAAAAGTGTGTAATTGTAAGCTACGTTAAAACTTCATAGGGTCTTGGCAAATTCGAATTAAGGAGCCCCATGAATAGTGTTCGAACATTTTTCTTCAGGGGAAATTTTTGAGAAAACCCCCATGTATTGTCTTTCGTGTTTTAANTATCTCTACTCTTGCATATTATAAAAAAAAAAAAAATGATTTAATTTATTCAGTAATGCTATTCAACATGTATCTTTTGTTACGTTTCATAGTAACAAACTAGTTACTAAATTTAGAATTCTCACGAGTAAGGGGATTGTTCGATAACTTACTTCATTCTAATAACAATATGCAGACATGCTAATGATGACCTCAAGCTTAGTATTGATTGTCTTTCGATATATGTTTAAATTACGAATTTTTTAAGAAAGTTTTACTTTATTAAGATGTAATTCACAAGTATAAAAGAAATTTTCAAAATGGATGCATTAAATAAATAATAAAATTTGCTTTTTTTTTTCCTCTCAAAATTAAAAATGAAATTTATTCAAATTAAGTCTGATTGTGATAAGATTAACTCTAATGTTTTTTTTTTCACCTTTGACAAAATTTTCTTACTTTTTTTAAAGAATTTATTCATATTTTTTCCAACTTCAATGGAAAATCTGCGTTAATCTAACTTAATCGGAAAATGTTCATAAATTGAATAGATGAAACATCTAATTTAAATGATAGAAAAGAAAAAAAAAATTAATAAAATCTTAAAATTCTTCAGTGATTAAGAAAGATAAAATACGAATATATCCTCTTATAACAAAAGCAAAAGTTAAGTAATTTCTCTTGTAATAAAGGTAGAAATAATTAAATTTGACGTTAATATTCTAAAATATTTCTGGTTTATATGATGAAATTTTTTATCCTGGTATCTTCATTGTTTTTTTTAAATATTTAACTTCGAATACATCAATTATAAACAGAAGATACCTTATATTAAAAATAAATAAATCAATTTAATATGAAAATTTACGTTTTTCATCACTATAAATGCATTGCACATTTAATTATTTTTTTCGAAGAATGGTATAAATGTCAAGTGTATGTAACACCTAAGAGGGACTTCTTAGTAAACCCATTACGGATTTGGCCTGTCTTTGGGCTGCCGAATAATGAAGGGAAGGATTTGACATATAAAAAAATTAAAATTTTTGAATAATAGGAAGAATAATAGTTCATTTATTGAAATTTTACTGTAATGAATACATAATTATGAACACTTAACAGTGATTAGTTATTACAAAGAACATTGTGAATATATTTAGAAGTAGGGAAAAATTTTCCATTATTAGAAATGCTTGAAAGATGTTGACTTATCTTCAATATAAAAATATCTTTTTAAATCTAAAAAAAATATATATATCAGAAAATTCTTTGGTAAAACATCTTTCAAATTTAGTTTACATGAAAAGGGAAAGAGAAGCGCAAACTAAAACATTTCTTATATCAGATATCTTTATACAGACATCATTTATCAAGCGAGGAATACATATTTATTTAATGTAACTGCTGCATAATCTATCATCGACTTCATTACGATCTATCTACACTAATAATTGATTGGAGAAACATCAACTTTTCTTTCATGTACACACATTCAACAATAAGCGGTTATTGACGTCAAATGCAACCTTGATAATTGTACTTATCGACTGGCAACTGCTGCTTCTATTATCTGTTCAACAAGAACCAATAACTATTTCTTAAGGTCTCACCTGCTACATATGAAAGTTCTAGGAATGTGCCACGGTTATTGGTTTTTTTCGGGGAGATGTATTCTTATGAGAGAATGCCAGTGGCTTTTTATGTAGATACATTCTATTCAACATTATGCTTTTATTCGAATTCGATTAGGGATTTATAACATGTATTTATATTTTAATTAATATCATTACTTAATAATTTATTATTAATTTAAATTTAATTTATTTGTATGTTTTAATAACGTTTTCGAACTCTCAATCTGTAATTAGACATACGTGGATCCCAGTTTAGTTACTTTTTTCTCGTTTTTTTAAGGTTATTAAAGGAAATTTGATATTCATTTTTAAAGTGAAATTATTAAAGAGAACAATTCACTTAAACGTTCCCTTTAGCACTACTAATTTAAAGTATAATCGATTTTTAACGATGATTCAATTAGAGCATTACCAAAATTAAATTAGTATAATTAAAGAGGTTTACAAAAAATTTGTCTTTAACGAATTAAATAATGTTTATTATTTCATTTAAAACGTACTATACTTAAGTAATATAATTTAAAAATATAGATTAAGTGCTAAATATTTATAAAATTAAAGGTAAATGCATGTAAAAAATAGATTTCTATGTATACTGTGTATAATTACAATATATATATATACAGTAAAACCTGTGTAAACCGGACTCACACGGTTCCAGTTTGGCAGGTTTCAGTTTTAAACATAGAAAGTCGCTTCAATCCGAAGAATTCGACCCCCTTAGGCAGGTTTTTTTAAACAAACGTGTATAAAATAACATCACAAAAAATAATTAATTAATCTTAAATATTAAAAAATAATAAATAATAATTTTTTTCCATTTATTGATTGATTTTCTTTACTTTTTTCTTTCTTTTTCTTTTTTTTTTATTCAATTTATATTCGGAAATTATGCATCAATCATAAGTAAGAGACGTTCCATTATTGTTATTTTGTGAACAAGCAACAATAATGGAAGATAAATAGGAAAATATTGATAATCTTTTTGTTGTAAGTGTGTATCGTCTTCAAGAAGTTGTGAAGATCGAAACCAAAATTAACTCTTACTATCGATTATTATACTTCACACTTTTCTCTTAACCTTAAAAAAAAATAATACTAAATACATTTTTTTTACTTGATTTTCTTTTATATTATTCGAAAGAAATAATATAAAAAGCTTTCATTTATTTCTATTTATTTTTTAAACTTATCTAATATTTTCTTAAATAAACAAAAGATTTGAAGTAGATAACAATAGAAGAGTGTTTTTTTTTTTAAAAAAAACTATTTAATTCTGATTGATATTTTCTTTAAATATAATGTAAAAAAAAGAAAGATATTCTAAATGATAATCAGGATTTAAAAGTATTTTAAACAATTGCTTTTTATAATATAAGAATGGGAATATTTTTAGATAATGGTACAAATGAGAAAAGTGTAAGTGAAATTCTGTTGAAAGTAAAAGTTATTTAGATAGAAAACAAGAGAAAATAATAAAAAAAAAAAAATTGACAGTAAAAGAATCCATTTACATTCCAAGTAAATTTTTTTTCTTCTTTAAATTCTAAAAAAAAATCAATATATAATTTCCGAATAAAGTAGTGCAATTCACATTTTCTAACAGAAACAAATAGATTCTGTAAAATCGAATATAACCGTTTCAGCTAAAGTTTTACTCGAAGGATCCATTCTTTTAAAAGGAAAAAAAAAACCACGTGGACCACATTCTTACAAACATTTTTATTAAATTTAAACTCTTTAAAGTTCTATCGAAATCGTATTTTATATATATTTTTACAATTTTTTTTGTATTCGAGTGATACGTATTATTATTATTATTATTATTATAAATAATTAAAATATATTTTAAATTACAGAAATTAATCAATATCAAACACGTGTTATTAAACTAATCGATATCAAGCACACGTGACTTTTAAACTTTTAAACTTTTAAATTTAATTTTGATTTTGTTTTTCATTTGTATTAAATATCAGACAATATCAAATAAATCAGATAAAATCTAATTTTAAAAAAATATATAGGAAAATTAATTAGTAAATTATGCAAACATTTTTTTATATAACTTTTTTCCTGTTTGATCCTCGTAATTCATTTTTAACAAGACGTTTACTTACAAATTAATAAGTAAATTATATTTTTCTGTGGCATTTTAATTAACTTATAAATTGATAAATTGCACATTAACTTACTTCTTATATATTCAAATTTCATTACTTTGATTGAATATTGTTATATAAAATTCTTCAATATAGGGGAGATCGGGGCAACTTCGGCATGCGGGGCAAGTTTGTCAAGCGCTTTTTTTAAAAAACAAATTAAAAGGAGACTTTGGTTATAGGTTAGGCAGTTGAGTTTTATTGGTGGCTTGTTGAGTGTAGTGTTTTTATTGTTCTCCAACAAGCGTAGTTGAATTATCAAGCAAATTTTCATTTTCGTT